CCAATAAACCCGTGTTCCAAACAGAGTGGGGCCAGCATGAGATAAGCCGGAAGCAGAGAAACCATGAGGGGCAGCTGAAGGGAGAGCAAGGAGGAGGGAGAGAGAGAGGCTGCTGTGTCATTCCACCACTGCTCGGTGAGAAGAGACTGTTTTCTCTCAGAATCCCCCAGCCAAGATAATTCTCCCAACCAGCTGAATTCTTTTCCATCTCTCAGAGCTTTTTCTCCCCACCTCTATCTTTTTGGGTGTCTGGATCTTCTCAAGACTTCCTCACTCCCCATCCCCCCGGAAACACTTGAGCAATTGATTGGAACCACACCTCTTGAACCACTGCCATCTGGGAAAACTTCCCGGGTCTTCACTGGGATTTTCAAACTAGGAGTGAGGGCTGGGCTTTTCTCGAGGGGCAGTGAGGAGTTAGGAAGAGAGGGGAAGGTAGGAGCTTCTGATGATGGGAAAAAAAATACACACACACACACACACACACACACACAATTCTGAAAAATGCTGAGTCTGGAATTGCAGGAAAACCCTTCCTTCCTGACACCCAAGAAGATGTCGAAAAGGAACAAGTGGACCTTGGTTACATTGGGGAGGTAGAGGAGTGGCCCAGCTCTGTATCCCAATGGCAGAGTCAACCACATTGAAAGATCCAAACCACAATAACCCAACTTACAAATGTGCCTGTCCAGGAGGTAGGCTAGGATTGGGGGAGGGGGAGGGCAGGAGGCAACCTGGGACACTGGTGGAGGGAAGTTAACTGTGGTGATAGGGTTGGTGCTGGAACATTGTTTGCCTAAAACTCAACTATGAATCACTGTAAATTAAGATGTCTTAATAAAAAAAATTAAAACAATGAACGAAAAGAAATAAAGAAAGGGGTGGGGGTGGGGGTGGGGGGTTGGACACTGGGGACATTGGTGGTGGAAGATGCGCATTGGTGGAAGGATGGGTGTTTGATCATTGTATGACTGAAACTCCAATATGAAAGCTTTGTAACTATCTCACAGTGATCACTGTATCACTGTATCACTGTCATCCTGTTGATCATCAACACTGTCATCCTGTTGCTCATCGATTGCTCCAGCGGGTGACAGTAATGTCTCCATTCGTCCCTGTCCCATGCTAGTGTAGCCCAATGGTGTCTCCTCACTCCAGAAACATGAAAACCATGTTATTGTTACTGTTTATGGCATATTAAATATGTCACGGGTAGCTTGCCAGGCTCTGCCGTACAGGGGCTGGGAATTGAACCCGGGTTGGTCATGGGTGCAAGGCTAATGCTCTGTACTACTGCTCCAGCCCCATCTCAAAGTGATTCTATAAAAAAATTAAAGAAAGAAATAAAGGAAAAAAGGAAGAAGGGAAGGAAGGAAGGAAGGAAGCAAGGAAGAAAAGAGGGAGGGAGGGAGGGAAGGAAGGAAGAAAGGAAGAAAGGAAGGAAGGGAGGAAGACGACGGAGGGAGGAAGGAAGAAAAAGGAAGGAAGAAGGAAGGAAAGGAGGGAGGAAGGAAGGAGAGCGGATACTCATATTGAAGGGGTGGAGGCTGGCATGTCTACACTCGGGAAATTGTTGACCTTTGCATGTGAAGATAAAAATCATAGAAAAGCTGCTGAAGACAGAGGGCAGGCTTCTGATGAATTTGAGAGGCAGAGAGAAAGAGACAGTAGAGGTAGGAGTCTTTAAGTCCAGTCTTTCTTGGGGGAGTATACCTGGTGGTGTTTGAGGGTGACTCCGGGTTCTGTGCTCCTATGGACCCAAGGACAATATGCTGGGATGATACAGTGCTGGGGATTGAACCCAGGCCGCCCCTCTGTAGAGCCTGGTGAGTTCTCTCTCCAGCTCCAAGCTCAGACTCTGAAAGGCAAGTCCTGAGTACAATGACCTGTGCTACCTTCCATCCTGGCCTGGAAAGAAAGGGCATTCATCTGACTTGTCACTTGATGGCCCGGACCGGTGACACCGAGTTCCGTTAGCTCCATGTGTTGTCTCCTCATCACTCGTCAAGGCGGGTGCCAAATGAGCCATCAGCTCCATGGCACTGGCGCTGGCTCGCCACCGAGATCCCTGGCGACAGCCTGACGGAAATGCTTTCCCTAATGACATTTCTAACTTGGACTCTGCCTCATTCAATCACTTCTCCGAGGCAGGGCGGGAAGCAGAGCCGCGCAGCTGGTCTGCAGAAAGCCTGAGTGTCGGATGTAGATTGAATGGCTAACCCATAACCCACCCACTGGGGTGTGTCTTGGGCAGGTCAATTCCACACTGAAATCCTGCCATCGGGGAACCCACACGGATGGAGGGGCTGAGACATTCAACGCTTGTATCAGCTTCATCTTCCACTACGTGAACTCACAGAGAGTATGGGAGATGGTACGGCTCTCTGGGAATGAGCTCAAGTTGCAGAGATGATTTTACACGATTACTACTTATCAGTGGGGTGGGTAGAAAAACCATTCATCCAGACGAATGGTCTTTGCTGGGCAAGGGGTGAAGTGCTGATTTGGCTTCTTTTATGACCCGGCGAGGAGGCAGATGGTTGGCTTGCGGATACAATTATTCTGGAGCGTTGTTGACATTAGGCAATAATTTGGGCATTATGGCATCCGGACGTGACCATAGAGACCTGCCTCTAAAATAGCGGCTGGGTTGTGGCTACGGATGAGGAGGATTTGTCTGTGCAGGAGGTGGCTAGCAAGGTCATTTGCGGCTCTGCTGTCTTGTCTGATTTTCTTCTGTACCCTGATGTGGTGTCTGCACTGGTGAGCATGTCACACAGACATGGGGCCCATCAGCACAACCCCCGGACCCCCAGACCCTTGAGGGCTCTCTCTCCCTTAAAGGGAACACAGCTCTCCTAGCAGGACCCTGAGTGTGATTCAAATCTACGGTGGCAACACGTCTCTGGGGTTCCATTCTGACCGCCAGAGAAGGGATTTGACATACATGTGAACATCCTGCTGAGTCTTACAGTTCAGTTGGGGTAAAGGGAGGGTGTCTCTGTTTCCCAGGTCAGGTTTCAGCACAGATGGTCCCTCCATTCCAGCCCATAAGTCTCGCTCGAGGTGCCCAGTCTCCCAAGGAAGGGGTGAGTATGTGTCACCATTGTCACAATCAACTAACCACAAGGGCCCTGCCCTGCAAGTTTCCTTCCCTCCCCTGCCCCGCCTCCAACCCTGCAAGGTTCCAGTTTCCATGGATTCTTTGTTCAATGACCTAGATCACTTCTGCTCACTTCTTACTTTTATTAAGAATAGAGTCTTTTTATTGGGGGGGTTGTTTGGGTCACACTCAGTGGCGTCCAGGACTTACTCCTGACTCTGTGCTCCGGACTTACATATTTGGGGGACCCTATGTGGTGCTGGGGATTGAACTGGGATTGGCCATGTAAAAGACAAGTTCCTTTCCTCCTGTGCAATCTCTCTGTCTCATAGGCAAAATGTGATTTTTCTTTTCTTTTTGGGTCACACCTGGCAATGCACAGGGGTTACTCCTGGCTCTGCATTCAGGAGTTACTCCTGGCGGTGGTCGGGGAACCATATGGCATGATGGGGATCGAACCCGGATCGGCCGCATGCAAGGCAAACACCCTACCTGCTGTACTATCGCTCCAGCCCCCAAAATGTTTTTTTGTGGCAGAGAAATGGCAGAACAACCCAGGTCACTGTAGGATAGATGACAAGGAATAGCTTTTTGCTTCTCTGCCAGAATAGTTTTCTTAACTTTCCTCCAGGACCCCAGTAACACAGGAACCTGTCAGGCTGCAGAAATGTGCTCGTATGCACATCCAAGTGCCTGTGATCTACCCACAGTCCCTCCTCCTCAAATGCATGGTAGACATGGAGATGCTTCTCTAAGGGCAAAACGTCTCAGCTCACGGATGCTCACTCCCAAGTTATGGATGAGGGAAGAGCAATATTGAAAATGACAGTGTCTGAGAAGCAATCTCAAAGTGCCTTTTTATCGCACAATTAGCACCCCTAATTGTGTGCAATCAAACTACTTTCTTCCTAATATGAAACCATCAGCCAGAGAGCTGCAATTGAATGTCACCACAATGATTTCGGCCAGTAATTCCTCACTTTTCACGTCCAGAAGGCTCCTCCTCCCCGAGGAAATAGCTAAATTGGATTAGCACTGAATTTCTGGCCTCGATATCCTCCTGGGTACTATGAAACCAGCCCAGGACATCTCATTTGGAAATCTCTTCTTGTATTAAGAAGCAAGGGGGAGGGGGCTGGCGATAACACAACTGTGCAGGGGGCACTATCAGCTGACGAATCTGTCTCAGAGTCCTAGAGCCCTCGAACACACTCATCGTTGATCTCTTCAGGACTGACCCTTCCAACTCTTCCCTCCCCCAATGCAATCATTAGGCCTGACTGTGTAAATCAGTCCAAACCACCACGGATAAGTCTTGTCTTCCAGCTATAAGCTCCCCTCATCCGGCGAGGAGCAAAGCTGTTTCCGTAAAACACAGCAGGGAGCCGGGGCCAGGCCAGCTTCTTCCCTACCTACCTGCACTGACCCGGGGCAGAGAAGTTAAGTCCGCAGACTAGCCGCCCAGCTCTGCCCAAAGAACAGAGGAAAGCGCTCAACGCCCATATCCACCCAGCTCCGTTTGGAAAGCAACTTAAGCAAAAGCAAAATCCTGCAGGGACTTTCACGGAAAGCTAGGGGTGACAGTCCCGGGAATAAAAGTGGGGTGAAGGAGTGACCCAAGAGTTCCAGGGAGAGGAGCCGCGCGCCTTTCGTCAGGGTACTGCCTCCTAGAAACTTTGACAGCAACTGGAATGTCCCGGGGTGGGGTGGGATGTGGGATGGGGTGGATGGAGTTGCGCACCCCAAGTCCGGAGCTTGGGTGGCCGGAACGTGTGCGTGTGCGCGCACGCGCCCGTGTGTGTGCGTGTGTGTGCGTGTGTGTGCATGCGTGTGTGCATGCGTGTGTGCATGCGTGTGTGTGTGTGTGTGTGTGTGTGCGCGCGCGCGGGGTCCTCACCTGTTCCAGCGAGCCACCTTCCTCCGGTAATACCGCAGCGCCTCCTGGCTGGCCAGGAGCGTGTCTTCGGGCCCGGCGAGCGGCGGCTCCTCCGGGACGTTGTACAGCGGGTGGGCGAAGAGTGCCCGTAGTTTGGAGCCCGGGTCCCGGCCCGGGTCGCCTGCCGGAGACGCCCGCGGCCCGGCCCGGGAAAAGTTGTGTGCGGCGGCGGGGTGCGGGGCTGCGAAGGCTGAGTCGGGGCGAGAGGACGGGGCGCGGGGGGCGCACGGGCAGCCCCGCGGCTGCTCCCGGGGCCGCAGCTGGCGCTGCACTTGGGGCCAGAGGTGGAAGTAGAGGTCGGCGGAGAGCAGCGCGCCCAGCAGCAGCAGGGTCAGCAGGCGGTCCCGGCGCCGCCCGGGCATGGCCCCGCCGGGGCGCGCGGGGCTCCGAGGGCGATCGCCGGGGTCCGAGGGGCGCTCAGCGCGCGGGGCCGCCCCGCCGGCGGCAGGCTCTGGGTGGCGTCCTTGAACTTGGGCACCCGGGGCGAGAGGGCTCCAGCGGCGGGCTGGCAGGCGGGAGGGCGTCCGGGATCGGCGCCCGCGGCACAGCCGGGACAGGGGGTGGGGGTGGAGGGTGGGGGTGGGGGGCTCCCGGGACCCGGGTTCCCGCGCCTTCGGCAGCCGGCGCCCGGGAGCCCGCGGCAAGCGCGGGGCCCCCCTGCGGGAGCGCAGCGAGCGCGCGGCTGGGCGGGATGCTGGGGCGCGGCGGCTCCCTCCGGGTGCGGGCGGCGGGGACGCCGGTGCCCCCCGCTTCCTCGGGGCGAGCAGCTCTGCGCGCGCGGCTCCTGCAGGCAGAGGTAACGCGGGGCCTCCCCCGCCTGGCCCGGCGCCCGCACCTCCGCCCACTCGCAGCTGGCACCTGCCTCTGGCGCAGCTCGCCAACCAACTCCCGATGCCTCTGCGGGCGCGGCCCTTCCACCTTGTCGCCCAGCCCCCGCCCGCCCCGGGCCTCCCGCGGCCCGGGCTCGGCGCCCAGCGCGGGCACTTTGGTGGGGCGCGCGCGCGGGGACTGGGGCGTGGGGGTTTGGGGGGAACCCTTCATATACGTGTTTTTTTTTTCTTTTTTGGGTCACACCCGGCGATGCACAGGGATTACTCGTGGCTCTGACTTTGCACTGAGGAATTACTCCTGGCAGTGCTCAGGGGACCATATGGGATGCTGGGAATCGAACCCCGGTCGGCCACGTGCAAGGAAAACGCCCTCCCCGCTGTACTATGGCTCCCGCTCTCATGTACATTTTTAAAGAGAGCCAACCCTTTCTCCTGTACATCTTCCCAGATATTCTGTGTGTGCGGTGACTCTGCTCCGCTAGAAGCCCAGGACACGTGCATAGCACGTGCTTGGCACGTAGTAGGTGCTGCCGAAAGAACCTATTGAGTGGAGGCAAAAAAAAAAAGTTCTACCTTTCCCAAGAAGGCCCCCCCCCCCGCCCCCCCTCCACATCCTCTTTACCTCGAATGTGGACATTTCCTGCCTGAGGGCGTTTGCAGCTGACTGTGCCCGCGGGCGCTTCACAAAGAGGAACTTTTTCTTTCCTTGGAAATGGGAGAGGCCTCGTGTGACCCCACTCTGAACCCTGGCATTTCGCTGGCTGTGTGAGTGGCCCACCCAATGGTCCACCCAAAATGAATCACTGCGGGACATGCATCGAACTTTCTCCTGCTCTCCCGGGAGGTCATTCACATGTTACCCCCCACCCCCCCACCTCCACCCCCATTTTCCTTTGGAGGACTCCGGGGAGACCAGGACTGCACTGAGTCCTTTAATGACCAGCGAGAGGAGCGTTGTGGAAGCTGGGGTGGGTGGGATATAGGAGAGGACACGGCTGATGGTGGGAGATAAACGCTTCTTTGCTCTTAACTGCCTGTCTGCCAGCTGAGCCCCCAGCCCTGAGTGCCACCCTGCGCTTGAACGCCTCCCGCTGCCTCTCTTCTCGGGAACCTGTACACGTTTTGGCTGGTAGGTTGAGTCCTTCTTCCCGTGGGCAGTTCTGGTGGTCTCTGCCCTCTGCTCCTCTGCAAATGAAGATGGGAATAGCGAGTTCACCCTATCCATTTAAATGAGCTCCAGGATATAACTCGCTTGGAACAGGCCCTTGTGGGGATCAGTAAGAAAGATATGCTTGCTAGAAATAGGAACGCTTCTTGGTACCTGGGGGACACTGGGTTAGATGAGACATTGTTGGTGAGTGGATCAACAGCAGTAGCAACAGCAAGAGCAATCAAGTCCAGAAAAGGAAGGTGCCAGAAAGGAGATCATTGGGTTCTGAATGTCCAGTTTAAGGGAAAATCCCCAAGCAAGACCATTCTGCAGCAACATCACTTTGCCGGAAAAGGGGATGTGAGCTTTTTTCCCCCCTGGGGCGCATCAACCCTTGTCTTCTTTTTCAGGGCCAAGGAGAGCCAGGCAGTGCTCTAGGCTCATGCAGATTCTGGGCATCCAATTTACAGCTTCACACATGCTAGGCAGTTGTTCGACCACTTGCCCTGGCCCACACTAGGATGAAATTTTAACGGATCTCCAGTTCCTGAATCACCTCTCTGTGCCTGTTTTGGCATCAGGACTGCTGGATAGAGAAACCCGGCACGGACCTGTGCATGGTCTATAACAACTATATGGTCAGTTGATTTGCATTTTTCTGGGATGGCAAAGGCCGTGGCAGGTCTTCTAACCTCAGTCCTCACCACACTCCCTCAGTAGAATTTTCTGTTTGGCTACCATTCAGGGAACATTGATTTTTTTTTTTCTGATTTGATTGGAGGTTTTCTCAACATATTTCCCTTACCCTATGAAAGTCAAGATTGAAATAGCATTGGGGCTGGAGAGATAGCAAAGCGGGTAGGGTGTTTGCCTTGCATGCAGTTGACCTGGGTTTGATTCCCAGCATCCCATAGGGTCCCCCGAGCCCTGCCAGGAGTAATTCCTGAGTAGTGCATGAGCCAGGAGTAACCCCTATGCATCTCTGGGTGTGACCCAAGAAGCCAAAAAAAAAAAGATTTAAATAGCACATGGAAATCAGAGTAAGTGAAAGAGGGGTTGGAGCAGAAGAGTAGAAATTCTAGAGATGGAAATGGCCTGTCAGACTCCATGATGCTGAGGTTGTTTGTTTGATTCTCTCACTCCCTCACCCCACCTCCCGGAAATGATCCCTTCCTTCCATTCCTTCTTGGTGGTTCCCTTCTTGACCCCTGGCTTTCTTATCAACTTCATTTCCACCCCGTCTGTACACTCCTGTGTGTACCTGCCTGAAACTTGCTTGAGTCCTCAATTATTTTTGAGCCCCCTCTTGCAAATCCATCCCTGCCCTTCTCATTTCTTTTGATCTTGAAATGCTTCTGGGCCCCAAATATTTTGTTTATATATGGTCCTGAGCAGGGTCCACCCACATTTCTTTCAGAGAACTTTCCATAAGGCAGATGCTGCCACATGGGATCATTCCAGGTATGTGTTCTACTCTGCTAGAATAACCCCCCTGGGGCAGACCCATACTGTGACATGCCCCTTCCTGGTTTGCCTTTTCTCTCCCTTCCTTTATACCCTCACCTCCCTTTTCCTTACTGTCTAGTTTTCACTCCACCACATGTTTGCAGTTCCGCAAGCCTTCGTTCTCTCTTTTGACTCAAGATGTGCCTTGAGTCCAAGGTCCTTTTCCATTTCTGCATCTAGATGATGGTCTACCCAAGTTTTGACTTTGAATTTTCACTTTCTCTGATGCTTTTCCTTATTTAAATACATTTATAGATATAGATAGATATAGATTTTGCTTTTTGGGTCACATCCAGCAATGCACAGGGGTTACTCCTGGCTCTGCACTCAGGAATTACTCCTGGCGGTGATCAGGGGACCATATGGGGTGCTGGGAATAGAACCCAGGTTGGTCACATGCAAGTCAAACATCCTACCCGCTATGCTATCGCTCCAGCAACCCCCCCCCCCCCACTTTTTTTATTTTTGGCTCACACCTGGCAATGCTCAGGGGTTACTCCTGGCTCTTCACTCAGGAATTACTCCTGGCAGTGCTTGAGGGACCATATGGGATGCCAGGGATTGAACCCGGGTAGGCGGCATGCAAGGCAAACGCCCTACTCATTGTAGTATCATTCCGGCCCCTTTATTTATTTGTTTAATTTAATTTTTCTGATTCTTTTCTTACCTCCTTTCCATATAGAAATTTATCTACAAGTAGGTCTAATATTTGGGTGAATGATGTCCAAATAACTATAGACACCCACTCCACTCAGTACATGAGGGTACTTGGGAATCTCAAATGAATCATTGATCACGATGTTGTGCCCGGTTGTTGGTTCGTGTTATGGGTTGAATAATGTCCCCCCTGCACCGCCCCTCCTGCTTTGATAGGGTGAAATCCCACTTCTTTGGAATGTGACCTTATTTGAAAATAGGGAAGCTGCATATACAATTAGTGAATAATAAGGGATATGCCATAATATCCATAATAAGGGAGTAGAGGGGATTCTTCGTTCAGTGGGACTTATATGGTCATGAAAATGGGAGGTCTGGGCGCTGAGATATACCCCCAGGAACAGTCTTGGGTAAAGATGAAAGCAAAGAGCTCTAATGACTTCCAAGCAAAGAGCAGCCCTGAGTGTCAGCTGAGCGCCAGGAGCGAGGTAAGAGGGAGTCAGCGCCATCTCCTTGAGCGACCTTGAAAGAGATCAGCCCAGGGCAACATTTTGATCTTTGGCCTCCAGTTCTGTGAATTAGAAAATCAGCTGTTGTTGAAGCCACCAATGTGTGACTCTTGGTGCAGTGGCTCTGGCCAGCAGGGGCAGCGTACAAGTCCACTTGCCTCACTGGACTGTGACTTCCTCGACGTGGAAGGGAGAATGCTCTTTAACTAAGGAGCTCTGAGAACAGGGCTTTTCCTTCAGTGTCCCACTAGTCCTTGGGACACAGTAGGGGCTCAATTGGTGGCTGCAATAAACTAGCAACGTTTGGGATCCTGTAGGAGACCTAGAGGAAATAGAAGACGCGGCTTCTCCCGTCAGGCCTCTTTTATGATTATTAGACACATGGAAAGTCAAAGGTAAGCAGGACGCTGAGCAGATGAGAGACTCTGTGGGCTGCCCGGACAGGGCTGCACATGTCAAGGGCACTGGGGTTTCCTCTCCGTCTAGTTAAATACCCAGCACTCAACTTCCAGGAATTAAATCAAGAAAACAACAGAGTCAACATTTAAATACCAGTGTTCCTTAATCTGGCAAGGTTAGACTCTATTTTTATCTTGTCCATGTTTGCATGTTGCTTAAGACACAACTAGTTGCTTCTTGTGTGTGTGGTTGGTTCTCTACACAAGATTACAACTCCGTGAGTCTGAGCTCCCCCACCCCCGCACTCCACCCCCCACTTTCTCCTTTCTTTTCCTGTCTTCCCGGCATTTTGTCCTTAGCCAGACACTTTGCTGTGAATGAATAATGTCCGGTAGAATTTGTGTATATAGTCTGAAGGTCCTCATGTTGGAGGGGC